ATGTTTAATATTTGAACTGAAGATATCATATTGTCCATTTGTACATATACAGACTTTTGGTTATATTTTGCGTTGATGAAAACAGTAAAATTTGATTATCATGGTTTTAATCAAGGTTCCCAATAGGTTTGGATTCCTGGTAATGATATCATTATTCCACCCATCTGTTACAAGACTTTTACAGACCTGAAAATTATTGATTCTGATCTATATGAAACTCTGACCATACATATTGTCCTTGTGATTTTATAAAGATACCAGTTCAAGGTTTTATTAAGGAGTAATCCCTTCTTCGGACTGAAATATGACACATATTTTCCATATTCTAGACGTGATCTTTATGACAAAGTTGTTTTCTTGCATGCAGGTATAGGAAAGACTTTAGGAAAGGATCTTCTGAAGAAATTAGGTTAATTTCTATTGTATCTTCTGCTTTGGAGCACAGAAGCAACCCAAACTTTGTCTGGTATCCTATTTCAGTATATCAGACTGTTGTCATTTATTTTCTTGCCTTCCAACAGTTGTTGGCTGTGTTGCTGTTGTTGATTGTCATATGACATTTAAGCTGTTAAAATGGTGTTGATTAAACCTATTGCATAATAATAGAAAGTCTTCCTCTTCAAAACAAAAAGTCAAGATGTCAACATTTAATAGATACTAAATCTATAATATTACATACACTGTGCATGTGTTGCAGATAAAAGCATGATATTTCAATATTTGTCAGAGTATTATGTTAGGTTCTTTGATAACCAAAAAGTGAAATATTGAATGTAGTTTTCAAAAGAGGAATTTATTTTTTCAAAAATTAATTATTGTAGAAAAACATTCGAAATGGAATAGATAAAGGTAATTTGAAGATCTATATATTCCTTGAGACTCAATCCGGGCTTGGAAATAAATATGAGTATTTTTTCACGATATCCCTGAAGTCGTGTATTAATTGTTTTAGAAATTATCAAGAGGTTTCAGGCGTGTATTGTTTCTAAAGTTAGTGGATTTGTCAAGTGGGAAAAAATAGAGTTTTGATTAGTCTAGGAGGAAGTTAATGTTAGGTACTTTCCTCCCTCAATGGCCGTTGTCAGGAAGTACTCAAAGGTTTGACCCATTGCTATATTACACTGAGCTAGAAAATTATACACAGACATATCCAACAAGTTTGCTGTTGTTTGGGTTATCTCTTATGGAGAAGGGAGAATGAATTGTTTCATTATCACTGCGATTTGTTAAAGTATGGTAGCAGAGGTGGAATCAAGGGATCTTAAAATGTTTAGATATTGACAGGGTAAGTGGTTGTTTATATCAAATATGATGTCATTAACAAAAATAAACAATTGTTATAGCTGTAGGTGGAAACTTATTAAATGAGTAATGTTGACATTTTTAGTTTAATCAGCAATTTTACAAAATACATTTTCTTTGTTATAAACAGGGTTACATTTAATGTATATTGATTGAAAATAAGATGGATATCATCCTCTTGTTGTATGTTTACATAAAATTCAAAATTAATATTTCTGTATTTCTACATATTTAAATCTCTTTCTGACTTTCAGGAGAATTATGTAAACAACTATACAGAATCATCCTTCCTTAACCTCTACATTTTGTTTTTAATCGAATTCAAAAATATGTACATAAATGTTTATCATTTGAAGACGGTTCATGTCAATTTTTGACAAACTGTCTAAAAAAAAAGAATTTAATATTTAATAGCAAGGAAGTTCAAATTAGTCTTATTGTTATTTTAAATAGCTTGTGGTTAAAGGAGTCAAAATATATCACATGTAAACACAAAAAAGCTGTGAAAACTTTAAACAAGGGCATTAACACATTTTTTCATAATTTAGATAAGTCTTGTGAATAAATAATTCAAATTTGATTGCACAACTAAGAAAAAACCTACTTTGGAGTTTTTGTTCATTTTGTGATAACATTTAATTGTCCATTGATGATTAAATGTTGCTGAGTTTCCAGTTAATTTGACAAAAAACATTGTCTAATACTGTTTACATATCAAGATCTGGATTTCTTTGGTGAAAATAAGCTATAAAATAAATTATTTAAAATATTCATGGATGTTTTGAAATGTGTTGAAATATGATTATATCATTTAACGACTCAAGTTTTTCAATATTTTATAATTTATATGACGAATTAACTACACTTCTGCAAACGCAAATAAATATCCACAATATAGTAACTGATGAAAAATGTTTAAAGGAAGGAAGGATATTTTGTACATGGTATACAAGGACAGTCTTTTCCAAGTTTATAAAGTTTTGTTTGCTTTAATTGTGATTTGAATAATCAAACTAAGGTATGAATTCTGTCCAGTTATTCACCATGGGGATGTTTCTTAGAAATTTATCTCTAACATTTCTAATAAATGTTACTTCATGCCTGTTCCTATGGTCAAAGGTCAAGGCCAACTTTGTACACACATTCTAAAACTCCGCCAAAATTTGCCTAATTTCCTAGGAGTGTGGACATGAGTGGGCCTTGCTTTCTGTTAGAGAAACATGGAGTGTTTATCACTTTGTAGCTCTGTGTAACTCCCCCTCCCTCATTTCAGTTCCATCTTGTGGCTAATTAATTCCCTGTAAAACTGGAGATAACCCCCAACTAAGATTGATTTAATTTATCAATGGGTGTTGATCAGAGCCCTGACAAAGGGGCCAGATTACTGAGGAATGCTTGGTGTTTGTAGACATCAGTGATATAATGGAAGAACAGTGAGATAGAGATGAGGAAGGGTTTGTAAATATTTTGCTCTGGTCATTTTGAATCAGAGAGCCATTCCTCACCTTTGTTTATATAAGAGAGAGAGCAATGGGACAAAAACACGGACACAACACTAGATGGACAAACAGACAGAACACTAAATGATGGACAGACAGGCAGAAACATTGACAAAACACTAGATGAACAGACAGACAGAAACATGGACACAAAGACAGATTAGCTTACTATTTAGCTTAGAATTTGTCTTAAATTTCGAGAATGATAAATATTGATGAGATATGACTTGATAGATTTTCATTATAAACATACATCTTAGACAGATAGTAAACAATTTTTTTTCATTGATTTACATTGTATTAAAGCATTGTCTGTAAACTTCAGTGGGGTTAACACTTGTATTTTACACAATGATTCTATATTAATGGTTGAAATTTGATTTTGAAAGTTCAATTTATTTACATCTTATTCTGTTAAATGGATAGATAGAACCAGCCTGCCTTAAGACATTTCACATGGACTTTCCTGTACTGGTTGAATCTTACGGCTTAATATGGTTAAAAATATTTATATATAAATAGACAATAATTTTTTGTCTTAACTTGGTCATACTGTCTATCTGTCTGTTAATTACAGGTGATGTGATGTGTTTCATGATTTACCTTAAAAATGAAAATGTTAGATTGAAATTTTAACTTTGCCTTTTCTGACTTTTCATTTCATATCATTGTATTTTCATTACTTGTCTAAATCTAGTGAAAACTTAACTTGTGTTTGTGGATGTATAATAACGGGTTTTATCAAGGTAGATGAGATTGTGTTTGAAAACAAGATTTATGAGAAAATAAATGAAAGTTTATGTCATGAAATGTTCAGATTTATGGAATTCAAACTTAACAAAGCCTCAGAGTATTAAATAGGATTCACTTTGTATATTGCAAGAACTTTCAGTTATAACTATTTACGAGCGATATTACATAAGATTCTATATATTTGAGGAAACCTAGTCATAACAATGGCTCTACAAACATGACTTACTATTTTCATACTTTCACAATTGTAATACTAATATTCAAACTTAGCAGTTTTGAAAATATTTAAATGGGTATTTATATATGTATGGTAATAAATATTTAGTAATGTTTTTAGTTTTGTCTGGGTGCCTGGAATAGTGTTGACACTTAAAACAGACTGTAGTTCAAGACTGGTCCCCATGCCATCTCTGTAGAAATTGTTCATGTCGGCCACTTGGCAACAGAAGTGGGAAATCCCCTCTCTGGGTGGGGCCATGGCCCCTAGGGGGTTCAGTTGGGCCCCTGGAGTGACAACTACTTCCCACCAAATCACTTAAATCACTTCCTCTCATACTGAAAGGGACAGCAAGAGGCCCAAGTGGGGTATCAACCCTCCATCTTTGGAGCAACTATTTGGGGCCCCAAAGGGGAAATTATTTCAATGACAATGATACTGAATAAAATCTGTTAGTATATAATTTCTTTATCATATTTCCGTGAGATTTCAGAAATAAAATCTTGCAATTTTTTTTCTATTTTCTAGAAGTTACATTATTTTTGTTGTACCTTTTGCTACATTTTCATTAAGCCTTGCTGTTTTTGAATAGTGAAAAGTTTTGAGTGTTTTTGAATTTCAAAGTGCAGCCTTAAACAATAAGTTGTGAGAGATAACAATTATATTGTTTTTAAACCTCCCAAGAGAATATCAATGAAACTTTAATAACTTTTAGAAAGTTGATATTATTTGATAGTGGAAATGAAGGAAAAATGAAATTTGGAAGTGGTCACAAACACAGATTAAAACCTATGTCTTATTTGAGTGGGTCATAAACATTTATATCGAATGCTAGCTGGCCCTACCCCTAGCCCTACCCCTAGCCATACCTATCTTAGAGTCCAGTACCTTTCTGAATAAACAAAAATTTGGAAGGGCTAGGTCTAATGTAAATTAGTTAAAAGCTAAACCATATGTGAGCGCGCATAAAGAAAGGAAATTATTCTATCTTTTGATAAAGGGATTGACCATTGGTCATTCCTGGAGACTTTCTGACCCCTGTGGTCCTCCCCCCTGTTGTGCCCCCACTAAGGAGGTGATTTATCAGGAGCCCCACAGGAGATAGAAATGACACTCCCCCATCATCTTGCAGCCCCTGTGATTGTACATACAAGCATACATACACACACATTCTCAAGTCAGGCTAGGAGCCACCACACGTGTGTGACCCAGAAACTTTGGTGTTTTGAGTCATGGTCGTGTAGATGTGTAAACTAGTTTAGAGGGTAGCCATGTTTGCTGGGATGTTTCTTACAGCAATCTTTGGTGGCTTATAGGGGCCGTATTTATTTCCTTGTTAAATCATAGACATGATTTGGATTTACAGCCAGAAATCTCTGGAGTTTGTGAGAGTTTGACTTTGCTGTCTTATATACACTTGGGATTTAGAGTAGAAGTACTCCCATCAGCTGTCTTACGAGTCAGCGTTTTGGCATCTGGAAGCTGGCATTGTTGTTCGCCTACAAGGACCAGACTGCAGTGAGAGACTGTAGGGTGTATCATCTGTCCCCAGGACAGGGCCCTTACTTAAGTGCATCACATAGGTCGTGTGTTATTTGTGACCTTTTCCCTTGAGACTGGTCTGGGACTGCAAGTACTTAGATTTTACAAAATCGCCCGCAAACATGATTCTTGGCAGTGAGAATCCGAACTTGCACCACGTTTCATTAATTCAAATTTCACCACCAGGATCCCCATTGGTGAGTTTTCCAATGAGATCACTATAACGTTATCACGATTGATGACATCACAGTAACTGTGACTTCATAATATTGGATGAGCTCACTGCATTTTTGATCTTATTCTGAATGTCAAGGTGAAAGGTCATGTGTTAAAAGGTCATGTTATGATTTTATGTTTTGATGTTGAGCAGTTAAATCAGAGATTCAAGTATTGTTGTCTTTTTCCTCTTGATCAGTAAGGTTGAATGATAATGTTAAAATATCTGTGGCATCATTTCGCTTGTCATTGTCATTGTCATGTCCTTATACTAAATGGTGTCGCTGATGCATTGGGAAGCTCTATATGTCTTCATCTAAGATTTCAATTTGTCAATTTCATTGTCTCCTGTACCAGAATATATCTATTATTCACAGTATGACCTGTGTCCTTGTTATCCTTTTGAGTTTTCATCAAGTTAGTAACAACATTTTTTACTGTATTGGTGACATTGGGTAATGTTAAAAACTCAGTGGACTGAAATTTTGAGTACCTAAACCCTCCCCGCCCCTCCAGCCCTCGAGTCATAGTGTCAATCTTTCGATTTTCTATTCATTTAACTTAATACAATTGTAAAATGGGTTTCATATCCTCATCCTGACACGATAGAGATGGGCGTTGGGGGATCATCGAAATCCTTTTGTTAATATACCCAGCCTGAAATAGTTCTGTGTTTAAACTCTTGTCATTTTATTCAAGCGTGACATTGACTGTCGGTTAGTTGTTTTCTTTATGTTAACCCTAAGTTAGCCACTAGTGCGTAAGGTGTTGGGCCTGAGGCCTCGGGGTGTTATACATTAATGGTCAGTCACCAAAAGGCCAATAACATGTGTAACCTCTTGATATTTTACAGTTGAAGCGAGCTCGGAAAGAATTGGAGAAGCGTGACGATACTCCTGACAGGAATCTTGTGGACCAAGGGTAAGTTTGGTCACCCTTCTGTCCACCTTTACTTGTTTATACACCTTTAATTATATGTCTACCTAAGTTAATGACCTAGTACTTATCTGGCTTGCGACACCTGACTTCTAAGTACTCACAAGTCCACTCCAGTAACAGATTAACTTTCATATCCAATTTTCGTTCAGAATGGACAGGTTCTGAAGTTTAAGAGTTCATTATTAAGGATGTCCATCCAAAATGCTTTTACAATACTTCAGGTGTATAATATAAACAGCTAGATATAGCAAAAAAGCATTGCCATTCCTAAATCATGAATATATTACCTCAACTTTTAAATTTCTTCAGTAGAATGAGCTTGTGAAATTCTTGGTATATCAACCTTGGTTGACATTCATTGTACAAACATACCTGTTGGTGACACAGAACTTACCTGTGTATTTGTTTTATTTTTAAACACCTATTTTTCAAACTTGATGGTACACCTTTACAATATAGTTGGTCTGTAAAAATATTCAGAAAATTCTTTGTATGGTTTCATTATGAAATTTTGACCTACTGACATTTAGGGTTATTTTAGAACCTGTGTCTTCTCTTTTTTTTTGGCCCCATTTTCCTAATTCAGATTTTGTGTCTGATTCAAGGACATAAATGTATAAGTGTCTGTATTAGGGAAAGATCTACTTTAGAAAGAAATATATCAAGTAGGAATGAGTATAGTTAGATTTGAACAAGTCACATGGTACAGTAGGGACAAGATAAAGATTACACAGGTTATATACTTTAGGAGCTGCAGTAGATTTGTTGGTGAGAACATTGGTCTAGAAACGTGGTTTCATTCTCCCTGCCCTTGTGGGTTGCAGTGGCCAAGTGGTTGAGGCATCTGACTGCCTTTATCACTACACTCCACCTTTGGGTAGTGTGTCTGAGCCCAAAGAAGGACTGTCTCCAGGTACTGGCTGCAGGTCAGTGGTTTTTCTCCAGAAAGTCTTACTTTTCTCCAACACCTAAACATGACAAATCCTTGAATGACCCTGACTGTTGATAGGATGTAAAGCAACATTAAATCAAACTATGGTAGTTTGTGTCTCTCAAAAACAGCCAGGTCTGTGCTGATGTGGTTGTGTCCTTGGACATGGGATTGGCCTTCAGCATGTTGTTCAGTGAGGTAGCCACCAGCTCTAACCATAGGACTTGTCTCATAGTGACAATTTCCGTCCATGCAACAATAAAACCAGCAATTAAATTAAAACAAATTCATTTTATTGTTCAGTTTAGACAGGTTGTACTGTACAGATTATTCTGAGTTCAGTTTAGACAGGTTGTGCTGTACAGATTATTCTGAGTTCAGTATAGACAGGTTGTGCTGTACAGATTATTCTGAGTTCAGTATAGACAGGTTGTGCTGTACAGATTATTCTGAGTTCAGTATAGACAGGTTGTACTATACAGATTATTCTGAGTTCAGTATAGACAGGTTGTACTGTACAGATTATTCTGAGTTCAGTATAGACAGGTTGTACTGTACAGATTATTCTGAGTTCAGTTTAGACAGGTTGTGCTGTACAGATTATTCTGAGTTCAGTATAGACAGGTTTTACTGTACAGATTATTCTGAGTTCAGTATAGACAGGTTGTACTGTACAGATTATTCTGAGTTCAGTATAGACAGGTTTTACTGTACAGATTATTCTGAGTTCAGTATAGACAGGTTGTACTGTACAGATTATTCTGAGTTCAGTATAGACAGGTTTTACTGTACAGATTATTCTGAGTTCAGTATAGACAGGTTGTACTATACAGATTATTCTGAGTTCAGTATAGACAGGTTTTACTGTACAGATTATTCTGAGTTCAGTATAGACAGGTTTTACTGTACAGATTATTCTGAGTTCAGTATAGACAGGTTGTACTATACAGATTATTCTGAGTTCAGTATAGACAGGTTTTACTGTACAGATTCTGAGTTCAGTATAGACAGGTTTTACTGTACAGATTATTCTGAGTTCAGTATAGACAGGTTGTACTATACAGATTATTCTGAGTTCAGTATAGACAGGTTTTACTGTACAGATTATTCTGAGTTCAGTATAGACAGGTTTTACTGTACAGATTATTCTGAGTTCAGTATAGACAGGTTGTACTGTACAGATTATTCTGAGTTCAGTATAGACAGGTTTTACTGTACAGATTATTCTGAGTTCAGTATAGACAGGTTGTACTGTACAGATTATTCTGAGTTCAGTATAGACAGGTTTTACTGTACAGATTATTCTGAGTTCAGTATAGACAGGTTGTACTATACAGATTATTCTGAGTTCAGTATAGACAGGTTTTACTGTACAGATTATTCTGAGTTCAGTATAGACAGGTTGTACTATACAGATTATTCTGAGTTCAGTATAGACAGGTTTTACTGTACAGATTATTCTGAGTTCAGTATAGACAGGTTTTACTGTACAGATTATTCTGAGTTCAGTATAGACAGGTTGTGCTGTACAGATTATTCTGAGTTCAGTATAGACAGGTTGTACTATACAGATTATTCTGAGTTCAGTATAGACAGGTTGTACTGTACAGATTATTCTGAGTTCAGTATAGACAGGTTGTGCTGTACAGATTATTCTGAGTTCAGTATAGACAGGTTGTACTGTACAGATTATTCTGAGTTCAGTATAGACAGGTTGTGCTGTACAGATTATTCTGAGTTCAGTATAGACAGGTTGTGCTGTACAGATTATTCTGAGTTCAGTATAGACAGGTTGTACTATACAGATTATTCTGAGTTCAGTATAGACAGGTTGTACTGTACAGATTATTCTGAGTTCAGTATAGACAGGTTGTGCTGTACAGATTATTCTGAGTTCAGTATAGACAGGTTGTACTGTACAGATTATTCTGAGTTCAGTATAGACAGGTTGTGCTGTACAGATTATTCTGAGTTCAGTATAGACAGGTTGTGCTGTACAGATTATTCTGAGTTCAGTATAGACAGGTTGTACTGTACAGATTATTCTGAGTTCAGTATAGACAGGTTGTACTATACAGATTATTCTGAGTTCAGTATAGACAGGTTTTACTGTACAGATTATTCTGAGTTCAGTATAGACAGGTTTTACTGTACAGATTATTCTGAGTTCAGTTTTGACAGCTTATTTCATATTATAGGTTCTTGTTTCATGTTAATAAATTTTTTGCGGGTGAATAGAACATGTGTGGGAAAAGATGAAAGACTTATTTATGCAATATACTTAATTTTTTTGTACTTAGGAGAAGTTTTTGAATGGTTTGAAAACCCTACACGATAAATTATTTATTTCCTGTATGCAGCTAAACAAGCAAAATATACATGCAGGAAACAGTACAAACTTTGCGGGAAAATCGTCATCGGTAATATCAGTGTTTGCAGACAGAATATAATCAGTATTCCAGCGGACAGTCTGTTTATCGATAGTTAATGATTTTCTCCACAAGTCACAGCTGTTTGATTTCTGTTACATAAACTTTTAATTCTTAAATACAGTTATTAGATTGATATGAATATACATCAACATTTAAAAGATGCTATTTTAGGCTTTTTAAATATAGAAAAATTGACAGTAGAAAGGTGTTAAGGCAGTAGTAAACACTTGGCATATACATATAAGTTGAATAGAAATATTCTAAAGATGGAAGAATATTAATGGTATTTCATTATGTACCAACATTGGGATACAAACACCAGGAGGTTTCGTATATCTAGTCCGGAATCAAAGGTTTGTGCATTTTCTTGATTGAAATTTATCAAAGAAAGAATACTTGAAGGCTCAATCTTCTAGATTTGTCAAAACTTTGAAGGAGACTTCAGTAACTGAAAAAAAAGTCTTAAAAGAACCTCCAAACTCTCACTGAATCAGTGTTTAAATGAATGAGTATAAACGGTCCCAAGTGGCTGATTTAGGCCCATTAACAGTACTAGTTGTCATGCTTAATATTCCCACATGTTTCTTAACAAACCCAGTCATTCCGGATGTTGAAGAAATCGTTTGAATTAGTTCAGCTTTAAAAGTCCTTTGTGTCCAACTTTTTTAAACACTGCACTAAAAAAGGCAACAAGTGGATTGATTGTGGAGTTCACCCCTCACCGAGCAAAGCCCTGTGTTTATGATAACTACAGTCACACCTATGTGTCGGGATAAATGTATTTTGGTCCTCCATGGAGAGACCTTTTTAGATACAGGACTCATTCTTCTTGGTCCATCCAGCCATGTACAAGTACAACTGTAATTAATGGGGGAAGGCCCGGAGAGAGAGTATAGGGATTCCTTCTTTAATACAATAGCTTGTTGATTTGGGCCGTCTGCCAGCCAACGTCAAACATGTTCAAAAACTGCTGTCAAGATGCACAGATTCCACTTTAAATTGGAAGAAAAATTAACTCAAGAGTTATTTTTCTAACTAGTTTCACCAAATATTGAGAAAATATTTATGCTTTCTAGGTAGAATGATTTCATCATTCTGGCCCTTGCTGCTCAGAATCAGGTTATCACTTATTTACAATTAAATTGTAAGACATCTGGAAATGTTGGTTTCAATACCACTTCCTTGAAAAAGAAAACTGTTCCTAATATATATTTCAAATTATAGGGTCAGAAACATATTTCATTTTAATACGTTGTTGTTAGTTTCACGATATAAATTTGTTTTCCTGACAACAGCAATCCTCTCTCATGTATTGAACGCTCAATACTCCGCTACAGATACATGCAAATATGAGGAGAAACAAAAAATACAGAGGTATGTACCATCTACAAACATTGCCCTTAGCGTATTCCAGCCTTCCAAAATAATGGTACTACTTTTTTCCTTTTCACTTCTCCACTATATAAAGTAGCTGCTGTCTGCGTAGATGGTTTGTTAAATAGCCTCTGGAAGCAAATACAATTCATTATCTAGAAATAAGTTAAACGGCATCTCCCTCAAAGACCAAGGGGTGGAAAGTGAGAAACTTGGACACCACTGAAGGACGACCTTTCTCCAGG